CTAAGATGCCACCTGATCCCCTGCCCCCCAGCCCCCCTCCTCAAGCCTCCTTTCCCCTCCAGCTCAGCCCATCTGCTGGCGCCCGGGCACCTGTCTGGGCCTGCCCAGGTGGGAGTTGGCACCTCCCAGACCTGGGGGTGAGGAGGGGTGGAGGAGCTTGGGGAGGGATTATAGGACTCCCCTTAGGGAATGCCTCACCCTGGAGAAAGCCCAGAAAAAGGTCGATCTGGCACCGGGGAAATGGCAAATGCCTCCAACAACCTGCAGGTGGGGTGTGCTCCTCCTAAGGTCTGGGCCCTTTATGCAATAGCTCAATCTCCATGGCAACCTAAGAAGCAGCTACAATGAACCCCATTTTACAGAAAAGGACAGTTGAGGCTCAAGAGGTTAAGTGACTTGTCCGAGGTCACACAGCTGCCCGGGCTTTCTTCACCGTAGCACCCTGTCTCTGCAGGGCTCCCGGCCACGGTTCATTCTGGATACGCGCAAAGGTTCCATGAAGATACCCAGCCGCTGGCTGGAGGAGAGGACTAGACACAGAAACCCAGCCCACATCCTCTCTGTGCTTCCCTTGGTCCCGGCCCCTGCCACCCTGCACGCACGCACACACACACGCTGGCGCGCACTCAGACACACATGCACATGCACACGCACACTGGGGCTGGAGGCAGCTGAGCTGCCCGTGTGAACTTAATCAATGCCTGTTTGCATGTACTTCTGTATCTGGTTTTCTCACTGCTCATTTGCTGCCCCGGCACGCTCCCAGCCGCCCAGGCTGCCCTGCCTTCTCCCACGTCCTTCCTCCGCCTTCAGCCCTTCCTTTCCTCCCAAGGGCCCCTAATTCCCAGTGGGTCAGCCTAGAGAAACTCCTCGTGGGCTCTGTGTCAGGAGTCTGACCCCGCTCCTCCTGGTGATGAGGGAGATGGGAGGACGAGGGCTGGAATAGAGGCTGTGGGGTGACCGGGTCCCAGGGTGACGAGGGGCAGAGGCCTGGACAAGAGCCACAGACAGCCCGCCACGGGGGCCGCTCGGCCGCGGCTTCATGAAGGACGAGAGCTTGGGGACGGCAAGGACTCTGGGGCCCTCTTCCGAGTTTTAGCGCTGTCCACTTGCACTTTTCTAGATTTCCCTGTTAGTACCTCGGAGAGCCTTCTTCCCAGGAGAAAGGACACGGGGGAAGGGGCCGTCAAAGTCACACCGGGACTCGGAATAGGACCATGGCACTTAAACCTGGAATGCTGGGGGCCGCTGTCCCTGCCGCCCCTGGTGTGGAAGACTGAGGGGTTCATCTGTGGTCCTGCCCTGGCCCTCGCCCCAGCCCCACCCCTTCCCCCGGCTCTCCATTTCTTGCTTATGAAATATGCATGGAGAACAGATGTCCCTGCTCCCCTACTCCCTGCCCCCCCCCCAGGGCCAGCCCCCACCCCCAGCTCCCGGGAGGTGGGGTGGGGGGGTGTTCCCAGTTCCCTCTGCCAATGGCTGCCTGGCCTGGCTGTTTAATATTGATGAGGGGGGGGCCTGGGCCAGCCAATGGAGAGCTGGGGGTGTGCGTGCGTATCTCCATGTATATATATATATATACACACAGGGCTGGGCCAGCTCAGGTGTGTATGTGTCTGTGGGGGGGTGTGTGTATGTGTGTGCGTGCGAGCCGCTGGCCCGCCGTACCTCCCCAAGCCCCCCCCCTCCAGCTGGGCCCTATATCCTCACCATGTGCACCCCTCTCGTCCGCCCTGGAGCCTGGGCAGCCACGCCACACTGCTGTCCCCGAGGGCTCTAGAGAGCTGGTCCCTAACTTTGCAGACGGATGAGCTCTGAGCAGCCAGAGGAGACTGGGGCTGTCAGCGCGGCCCCCTGTCCTGCCAGCGTGGATCCCCTCACAGGGTCTTCCTAGGTAAAGGGAGAACCGTGGGCTGGGGAGGGGTGGGTGTGTCCCTTGCACTCTGGCTCGGGTCCCCTCCCCGAGCCTCCCTCTAGATCCTCTCTCCTGTGTCCCTGCCCTTCCCTCTTCCCCATTCCTCCCCTTGGACTCTTTGTGCCTGTCTGTTCTCCATCGGGTGGAGCATGGCAGAAGTGGGGCTGGAGGTCCCCCCGCCCCATGCTTGGGATTGCTGTTCTCCCTCATCCTTGGAGCCTGGAACTTTGGGACCAGAAGTGGATTGGGGGTGAGGACTGCACGGGTAAATAGAAGCTGCTGCCAGGACTGGAGCTGGGGTGGACGGCGGGGCCCGGTGGAGGTGGGACAGGGGTCAGATTGGGAGCACATGGAGGGGAGGGGAGGGGAGGGGAGGGGAGGGTATGGCAGAGCCGTCAGGGGTGAAGGAACACGGACACGGGGCAGAGGGACGGCGGGCTGATAGATGGGCTCGGAGGAACGTGCAGCTGAACTCCTGAAGCCCAGGGGTGGGAACCTGGTCCTGCAAGGTGCCGACTTCGGGGCCTCCCACGCTGTTGCCACCCCTCTTGTTCCTCCGGAGTCCGGAATGTGGAGCGTGTTCTGAATTTCAGCACTGACCACCTTCTGTTTTGTGTGATGGTTGTGCGTGTGTGTCTGTTAGATGTGGACACCCTTGCACCCGCCACCCCCCAGCAATTAGTAACTATCTGTCAACCACCTCTGAGCCTGCCTCCTCTGCAGTGGGGTGGGGCAAGGTGGGGGGGGGTCGTGACCCCTGGGAGGAGGGCCCTCAGGCAGGAGAACCAGGCTGGTGAGGAAGGGACGGAGCCTCGGTGGTTCTGTTTCGGGCGGTTCGGTCCCGCTGAGCTCCCAGGGAGCGGGCCCCTCTTCCCCCTAACACTCCTCCGAAGCCAAGCCTTTCCCAGACCTTTCCTTGCTGCCTCACCCTGACCTCCTCTGGTCCCGGGGACAAACCACCCTTAGCCAAGCCCCATAATGGTGTCCCCAAGAAGCTGTCCACGTCCCTTCCCCTGCAGGCCACATCTGAGCAGATGGGCGGTTGGGGGAGGACCCCGAGTGGGAAACCCATGATGATCCCTGTCCCTCTTCTTCTTTGTGGAGCCACCAAAAGCACCAGGGAATGGCGCCCCGCGGCTGAGGGTGTTGGGGATAGAGCTAGAGGAAGGCCCTGGCCCTGAGGAGGGTCATCACGGCCAGAAGAGATACCATGCCCTGACTCTAGTGGACGGGGTGGTAGGATCAGGTGTCTGCGGTGGTCGTGTTGCGGGGGTGGGGGGCCAGCAGGGACTGAGCCGGGGCAGCTGTGCCGAGCTCCATATGTCCCAGCCCAGTCTGCAATGGGCAACCCGCGTGTGCACCCCCTCCCCCCCAAGAGAGGCAGCAAGGCTGGAGCGGGGCCCTGAGAGGGAGGAAAGGGCAGGGCCAGGGCTTGCGGCTGTCCCGTCACAACTGGGGAAGGTTTGGAGGCACGGCCAACCTCTCTTGAAGCTGTGACTGCAGTCTTGCTCAGCTTTCTTTTTCTTTCTTTGTATTATTACAAGATATTTTTATTATGGTTAAAAAAACACAAACATAAAATTTACCATTTTAAGCATACGGTTCAGTAGCGCTAAGTATATTCACACAGTGATGCAACAGATCTGCAGAACTTTTTCCTCTTTCAAATCTGAAACTCTACACCCTTTGAACAACACTTCCCCTTTCCCCCCACTTCCCCCAACTGCCATTGTACTTTGTTTCTCTAAAGTTGACCGCTTAGATCCCTCATATAAGTGGGATCATACAATATGGGTCTTTTTGTGACAGGCTTGTATTTCATTTATGTGTAATGTCCTCAAGTTTCGTCTATGCTGCAGCACGTGGTAAGATTTCCTTCCTTTTTAAGGCTGAATAATATTCCATCGACTGTATGTGCCAGATCTTTATCCAGCCATCTGTCGATGGACGTCTGGCTTGTGTCCATATCTTCTTTGAACATGGAAGTGCAGATATCTCTTTGAGGTCCTGATTTCCATTTTGGGGGGATACCACCCAGAAGTGGGATGGCTAGATCATCTGGTCGTTCTATTTTTAAATTTGGGGGGACCTCCATTAGGCTTTCCATAGTGACTGCACCATTTTGCAATCCCACCAACACACCAACATGGCACAAGGGACACCACATCCTCACCAACACCTGTTATTTGGTGTTGTTTTTGTTTTGACAGTGGCCATCCTCACGGGGGGCGGGGTGAGGTTTTAGCTCATTGTGGTTTTGATTTGCTTTTCTCTGATGATGAGTGATGGGGGGCATCTTTTCATGCCTGCTGGCCATCTGTGTATCATCCTTGGAGAAATGTCTGTTCAAGTTCTTGGCCCATTTTTTAATTGAGGGATCCGATGTTTTGTTGTTGCGGGGGTTCTGTATAATATTCTGGATATTCACCCCTCATCAGATATATGATTCGCCTGTATCTTCTCCCGCGGCTTGCCTTTTCACTCTTCTGATTGTGGTCTTTGGCTTACAAAAGTTTCCAAGTTCGACTAGTCCCGTTTGTCCCTTTTTGCTTTGTTGCCTTCCTTTTGGCCTCATATCCAAGAAATCACTGACCGCCAAGTCCGGCGTCCTGAAGACTTCCCTTGTGTTCTCTTCTAGGAGCTGTCTAGTTTTAGGTCTTTAATCCTGCGGCTGGGTTACGTCCCGCCCCCCTCCTCCTTTCCTGATGCTCCGTCTTTCCTGCTACTCCCTCCTGTCCGCCTGTCCGCCTGCCTGTCTCTCCCAGACCGCCACCCCTCCCCATGTTTCTGCTGTTCTCCCCCCCCCATAGCACCTCCCTGCTCCCAACGCATCTCCGACCTTCCTCTTGCCCTCCCCATCTCCGAGCTGTCCCCTAATTCCTCCCTCCGCCCCAATCAATTTCTTCTTCTCTCCTCCAGGCTCAGCACTGGAACCCTGACCATGGGACCTTGAAGTGGCTCTGACCTCCTCAGCTCAGTGGCAGACCCCACTCCCCCAGGCCCTTCCTGCCCCTCCCACCAACAGCTTGCCGGCTCCCAGAGGGAGGGGTGGGGAGGAGATCCTGATCTCGCAGGGCACGGGGCTTCCATCATGATGCTCAACTCAGACACGGTGGAGCTGGACATACCTCCCACCCACTCGGAGACCGAGTCAGGCTTCAGCGACTGCGGGGGCGGGGCGGGCCCCGACGGGGCTGGGCCTGGGGGTCCCGGAGGGGGCCAGGCCCGGGGCCTGGAGCCCGGAGAGCCCGGCCGGAAAGACCTGCAGCACCTGAGCCGGGAGGAGCGGCGGCGCCGGCGCCGGGCCACGGCCAAGTACCGCACGGCCCACGCCACGCGAGAGCGAATCCGCGTGGAAGCCTTCAACCTGGCCTTCGCCGAGCTGCGCAAGCTGCTGCCCACGCTGCCCCCCGACAAGAAGCTGTCCAAGATCGAGATCCTGCGCCTGGCCATCTGCTACATCTCCTACCTGAACCACGTGCTGGACGTCTGACGGGGCCTGCCTCCGGCCTCGCGGGAGTCCCCCGGCCCCTCTCCCCCGCCCCTGCACCCCCGCACGGAGTCGCGCAGGCCCCGGGGCGCAGGCAGGCTGCCCTCCGCAGGTGCTTGCTGGCTGGCGGCTATAGCGGGAGCCCCACCTCCTCTTACCGACCCCGCACCCCCGCCCCGGGCGAATCTCATGTGCCTCCCACCGTTTGTGGTTGGGGCCCAGCTGGTCAGAAATGTTTGCCTGGGTGGTCGGTGTACAGTTCTTGTGGGGGTTCCTAAGCGGCCCCCCTAGCTCTCTCAAGGGCTGCTGCCTCTTCTACCCCCAAGACCAAATTTTCGGAGACCCCAGATCCTGTCTGTCTCCCATCCTGTTTCCAGCGTCTCCTGCCCCCCCCCCCGGGGGGGAGGGGGCATCGTCAGGGGAAAGGGGAAGCCTGGGCTCCGAGTGCAAGGGGGGCTTCTTCTCAGACATCTCGGCCCAGCACCGGTGGCCCGAGGGCCAGGCGCGGCCAGGCACGGGGCTCCCGAGACAGCTCCTGCCAGGGGAGTCCTAGCAGCGGGAATCCGGGAAAAACGCTACCTGTTTTCTCTTGTTCCTGAGGCTCAGCACAGACGGACCTCGATCTTACTTGGTAGTGAGTGCCTTGCCCTCTCTAAGCTCCCTGCCCCCTCCCACCCAGCATCCCAATTTTCTCCCTCTCTGTGTGCAGCTGTTGAAAGGGTAATCGATCTAGATCCTGGAGGAGGGGATGATGGCCCCAGACCCAGCCCAGAGAATCAGCAGAGGGCCCAGGCAGTGGGTGAGCCAGATCGCACATCTGCTTCCTCCATCCCAGCCCACTGGGAAAATGTGCAAAACCCACCCGCCTTCCTCCCTCAGATGCAGCGGGGAGGCTCTATTCCTACCCTCTGGGAATGCTCAGCTCTCTTGGACCTAGGGCCAGTTCATTATAGATAGATTTTTTTCTCCTTCCTTAAGCTTGGCTTCAGCAAGGGAAGACAACAGCCACCCCGCTCCCGACTCCCAGGCTCTCTGCACTTCCCCCCACATGTTGCTTAGCCCCCTCTGCTGACGGCAGCCCAGGGTCAGCAGTGGAATGAAGGGCCAGAGGGCAGGTGCAGAAGTGAGCTCACGGCCCTTCCCATGCTCCCTCCTCCCCGACACCAGACTCCGCGCTCTACAAGGATATTATTTATTTACGTATTTATTTATTTATTCATCTATTTATTTACTTATTTATTTATAAATATTACTATTTATTGCCTAGTTGTGCACTTTGGGGTAGAGCGAGGGGGCTCCTGGCAGTCCTAGCTGGGTCTCTCTTGCTTCCTCCCCGGTTACTCCTTTCCCTTTCTTACTCCTTCTGCAAGCTCCAGGTGTGTGGGGAGATCCTCCCTGCTCACCATACCCATATCCCTTCCTTAGATCCATCTGTCCGGACACCCAGTCCTCTGGGATGGTGCCCTTCCCCCAGCTCCAGGGCTCCTGGACCCTTCCATAGCTCTCTCCACCCCCAGACAGTCGCACCCCAGTCCTGCCTGCCTCTTTTCTCTCTCTAGCCCTCTCCCATGACCTCGCACTTCTTCCTAATAGCCCCAACAGCGGGCCCCCCGGGGTCTGTGTCCTGTGTCCTGTGTGTGATCCCCTCCCATTGCGTTTCTGATTTCATACGAAAAGAAAAATTAAAGTGACCTCGTTCTAGCACCAGGTATGGCTGTGGATCATTCGGTTGGGTTGAGAAGCTGGCCTAGGCATGGAGGGTCCTAGGCTTTGAAGGCTCTTCTGATGGGGCTATGAGAGCTCAGTGTGGTGGGTACCCAAAGAGAGAGAGGGAGGGGCACAGAGTAAAGAGGCACAGGGAAAGGTATAACACACCGGTCCCAGACCTGCCCACCGAGAGTCCCAGGTACCTCCATCTTGGTGTTCATTGAGCGACACTTTCTGACCCCTCTGGCATTGTGCTTCTGCTCTGCTCTCTCTGGGCCTGAGGAAGAGCTTGAGTTCCCAGGGGAACACAAGTAACACATGTGTCTGTAGGTCCATGCTGCTGGGAAAAGCCATGACATACAGTCTGTCTCTCCTCATTGTTGTCTCTGAGCTGGGTCAGTATTCATTGCAGTTTGTTCTTGGCCCACTTTATGTTCCGCAACCTGAGGATATGGGGGAGAACATAATGGACAACCTGGGACTCAGGAAAGGGAAAGGGATAAAAAGGAGCTCTGAAAGAATATCCAAGGACTCCTGGAAGAGACCCTACAGTCAATTTATAGATGAGGACACTAAAGCCCAGAGATGAGGGGGTCTTTGCCCAAGGTCACACAGCTAGTCGGGGGGCAGAAGTAAAGTTCAAACCTAGGTCCTTTACATCCTGTAATGCCAACACCCCACTTCCCTGAAATGACCCAGCCTGCCAGGTGAGACTCTGTGGGCCTCATATTTTAACAAGAACCCCAGTAAACCAGAGAGTATTCAGTTTTGTGGCCAAGAAGGCAAAAGGTCTGGAGACAACTTTGCAGAAGGAATAGCTGAAAAACTGAGGCTATGTGTCTTCACAAGAGCAAGCTCGGGGGGCGATATGGTCCTTAGCTTCAAATACTGAGAGAAGAAACAAAAACAAGACACGCTGCGCGGCCCGGGGGAAGCAGAACCAGGACCAGTAGGGGGAAGTTACAGGCAACAGATTTTAACTCTAAGGAAAACCTTTCAACACCTGGAGCTGTCCAGCAACGGAAGTGCCTGCCTCGAGGAGGAGGAATCCGAATAGATGGGCTGGAGCATGGACCACAGACAGAAACCAGCGAGTCCATTCCTGCCTCCCTGGAACACTGGCTAGGTAAACTCAAAGATCCTTTCCAAGCTGGAGGCCCTCTGGGAAGTCTGCAGGCAAGCAATGGGAGGGAAATGCTGAGACATGTCTGGACTCTGAAGGTGCTGTTTTCATCCCTGACATCAGCGGCAAGAGGGGTTCAAGTTAGACAGGGAGAAACCCACACACATCTTCCCTTCCCCATCTGCGTTAGAGGAAATGTGCTCTGCCCAGAGCCTGGCAGGAGGGAGGGCTGCACAGAGACCAGGGAGAACCTGAGGACTATAGGGCTGGAGCTGGAAGGGAGCATGGCCGTCACCGGATCCAACACCTTTGTTCTGAAGGCAGGTAAGCCACCGTCCACAAAGGGCATGTGACTCACCCACGTTGGTGGACTGGGGTTAGAACCGTGTCCTCCATTCCTGACCCTGGAGCTCGGTGCCTTCCCCTGCACGGCAGCCCTGGCCCTCGGAGCTCCCTGCCTCCCCCCTTGTCACTTTGCCCTGCTGGAAAGCAGAAGGGGTTACTGGGCCCCTCTGCTCAGGGATCCCTCAGGGCCTGGGGGTGGGGAGGGGGGGCCAGCCGCAGCTGTTCTGCTAGCTCCAAATTTCTTCAGATAATCAATTGGCCTCGGCTGCCGCTCTGCACCGCAGGACCAGGACTGGAGAAGCTGGAGGTGGGGAGGAGGAGGGGAGGGGGCAGGGGGCAGGGCGCTGGGAGAGGGGACTGTCTGGGAGACCCAAGTCCCCAGGCTGAGGACTGAGGGAAAGTGGGAGCTCGGAGCTAACACCAAGGGAGGGAGGGACAGAATGTCAGGAGAGGAGGCATCTGGGGCTCTCATTCTATGTCCTCCAAAGCCCACCAGGTGGGCCAGCGGGCTGGGCGACCGGCTGGGGGGGGGCACCCGGCAGGAGTGGGACTTGAGCACCTCACCCCCCCTTTCCTCCTCCAACCCCTTCTCACCCCTGCCAGCCCCTTCCAACTGTCCATGCCCCTTTCTCAGCACAGCCCACCCCTGGTGGCAGAGCCCCCAGCAGGCCCCAGGGGCTTGAGAGTGGAGGGGAAGCTCTTAGCCACTCCTCCCGCCTTCACACACACACACACACACACACACACACACACACACACACTCATGCACACACACACACATACACTCTGTGTAGGCTGCCAGGCATATGGCCCCTTTGTGCCACACAATGGAGGCCCTGCCATGCCCCTTTCCAGGCTGGGCACGGGGCTTCCTCTCCCTCCTCTCGCTCACCTCCCTTCCTTCTCCATCCCCCACGCAGGGTCTGCCTGTGCCTCCTCTTCTGCCTCTAGCTGGACCTCCCCTCCCTCCATCTTTCTGCCTCTTGTTTGCTCACTTGCTTGCGTCCTTTCCTAAGCCCCCGAAGTCTGGGCGAAGCCTGTGTAGAGAAGAAAGAAGTGGACAGAAGGCCACAGCCCTCGAAGGCTGGTTCGGGGAGAGAAGAAGGAAGCAAGTGGAGCGGGAGTGGGGGAGAAGGGAGGCAGTTTTGGGATGGAGGGGACAGAGAGCCCGCGGCTGGCAGCCAGAGGACCTGAGTCCAAGCTCCATATTCACCTTCACTCGTGGCGCCGTAACAAGCAAACCACACGCGCTCCCTGGGTCTCAGGATCAAGACCTGCCTCATAGTGGTGTTCTGAGCATGAAATGAGATCATGCCGGCAGTGCTCAGCATGATGAATGCCCGCTAAATGGCACAGTGAGGAGCAGTTAGTAGCAGGGCCAACCCATACTGTTGTACAGTCTGTGCACTGTACAAGGTGCCAGGCCAAGGCAGTGAAGGGGCCTGACATCTAACCAGAGCCACTGGTCATGCCAGTGGTGCCAGTGAGGGTGCAGCATCCCCCGAGAGGGGGCCCTGGAGCCAACCCCTCGTGTGGGTTCCCAGGCATGAACTTACAGGGGTCCAACCGAAAACTCAGAGTCCTGACAACCTGGGAAACCAAGACAGAGTGGAAGGGGACGAGAGGCTATGGGGAGCCCCGAAAGGGAGGTCCCTTACCTCCGTCTTCCCTGGAAAGTGGGGAAAAGCTGAACTATGAGATCTGCTACACCCATCAGGGAGGCCCTGCAGCTGAGAAGGGGTGGGGAGCTTAGAAGCAGGAGAGGAGGGAGAGCCTGGGAGGGTCGGTGGGTAGAGATGAGAACGCGGTGTGGGTGGAAGGACCTCTG